ATTTTAAAAAGGGATGAATTTTCATTTTGGTGAACGATATTGATCAAGATCGAAATTTTCGGAAACGAATTAACAGTTTGAGGACTTATCAATATTACACAGGCAGACGATTTGTTTGACAGCATTACTTCGGCAGACGCCTGTCAAATTTGTAATTTTCAAGTTTTAGTGAACGACATTTATCAAATTTTGTTTTTTTGCAAATCGATTCCTTTACTAATGTACTCTCAGAAAAAATAGCGGCGAAAAAGACGGCAGCGTTTTTTTGGCAGACGCTGGAATAATGACAAGTTGATTTATGGTAAACAATACTGATAATAGCTGATATTCGTGAAAGCGTTAGAGTAGCTCTAGTGTATTCAAAATTGAAATAGGCAGAAGATTTATTTGACAGCAGAATTTTGGCAGACACTATCAAATTTTGTCACATACAGGGTGTCCCAGCCGAGAGTGAACCATTTGAAATGCTTATAACTTCTAAACTAGTTGTGCTAGCGACTTGCGGCTTGCGCCATTCGACTTCTCCTGGCTTAAAGTTTTTTTAAGTAGGTTGCAAATTTTCTTGCCTCTCATACAGGGCGAGTAAAAAACATCCGTTTTTCAACATCGAAATTCTCCACTATCTTTAATGGAACACCCTGTAGGTATATCACAACGTCAAAAAAAAGAGTCATGCTAAAGGTATCCATGTACCAATAAGCATCATCCTTGAAACTTAAAGTTTTAGCCGTAAAAAATTGAAATCTAAATCCTGGTATTTTAGCATAAGCATGGCAGCTTCATGTTGTAGGTATGTAGTTGCTATCACTATGGCAAAGAATTTTTAAAAGTGTGTGTAATTGGACATCACCTAAGTTAAAATAAATTTTCCACGAGAACTTAACAAGTTCCAGTGAGACTAGCGAGATACCCCAAAAGTAACAGTTTGGCGTGGAATCTCTGTTGAGGAAAAATAAGGAAATAATATCTGTAAATAAGTGGTTTAAATTAATACAATTAAATATAGTCAAACACTTATAAACTTAATAATAATTAAATTTTGACACTTAATATTTAACAATATTATTAAAAAACGCGATTTAATTTTTTTTAACTACGTTTTTCAAACTGGCTTCTCATTACACTAGGTCTACAAATTCTTAGTAGTATTTATTGCGTAAAGTTACTTTTTTTATTAATTTTCACCTGATAAACATCATAATGATAAAAATATTTCAAAATTAGTTTTAGTTTCGTAGAAAAAAAAATTCATTTTTTCAAAAAGTTAACAGAAACTATACATTTTTTACTCATTTACGGAATGGCGACGTGGTTTTTTCGCTGCTCTCTTATATTCTGCTTCTGGAACATCTCGACAAACAGTCCAGCAATAATCTGCCAACATGGCAACATTTCACTTGCCCTGATATCGTTTTTCCATGATTGCGAAGTCCTTATGGAAGCGTTCTCCATCGTCACTCAATGCCACACAGTTGTCTGGAAAGAAGTCTAAATGTGAATGTAAAGAGTGGATTTTCAGGGACATGTTGCAACCTAGTTACTGATACGCTTGTAACATCTTTCCGATTAGTTCAGCATAGTTGTCGGTCCTCTTATTTCCTAAGAAGTTTTTTGCGACAAGACGAAAGTCTTCCCAGGCTTTTTTTTCTGTACCTTCCAAAACACAGTCAAAATTATTATTTTTAAATAGTGTTCTAATTTGAGGACCGATAAATATACCTTCCTTGAACTTCGCTCCACTTAATCTTGGAAATTTCTGACGAAGGTACTGAAAAGCAGCTCCATTTTTGTTCATTGCTTTTACGAAATTTGTCTTAAGCCCTAGTTTAATATGCAATAATACTATTTGTGGGTCAACTAAAGGGTCATTTTTTTGCCCAGTTTGATGTGACTGACGTCAGGTGATCTCTACAGATTTGCCATTGATGTTCATCATACTTAATCCGCAACAAAAGGCTTTTCATATTTTCATAAAACTCTTTCATATGGACTGCGTGACCAATAGGAATCGACGGTAAAATATTTCCGTTATGTAGCAAAACAGCTTTTAAACTTAGCTTAGAGCTATCTATGGAGAGTCTCCATTCATTTTGTACATAGAAAATATTAAGTGCTCTCATCAAACCACTGACATCTTCACAAAAAAGTGTCCACCATAGCAAAATATTGCATCAACTCTTTTTGTCTAGTACGGAAAGAAGTTACGGCCTAGAAATTCTGTTTTGCTCTTTGGCAATGCTTAATTCCTTACGAGATCGTTTAACTCAGCTTGCGTTATCTTGTGTGGCTGTGATCATGTACTAGGTGCTTTGAAATCTGACATTGATAAAGTTAATGGTGAACTGTCTGTGCTTTCATCTTCTTCGTCGTTGCCAATGTTAGGACGCTCCGGGATTGAGTGAATATTGCTGTGCGGCAGAGGACGAGTAGCCGTTGGTACATTTGGATATAAGGTACTATGGCTAGGGATGGCAGTGTTTGCCAAAGTGATAGCAAGTACAGTACAGGGTGGCCCATTTTCGATTTTTTAATGGGGTATATCAAAAACTAGCAGAGATATCAAAAATCTGGGAGCACATTCTCGACCTCTTTTTTTGAGAAAATAACCATGGTGAAGACAAATCACGGCTAACTTGATGCGTTTAGGAAATACAGGGCACTTTTCAAATTTTGTCCAATTTTAAAAAATCCTCTAATTTCTTTATTAATCAAGATATCCAAAAACGAAAAATACTTTCTATAGGCAATTTTTCAAGTAGAATCCAGTGACATGACCAATTTTTTCCAGATGCCACCGATTTTGGAATATTAGCTAAAGTTGTGTTTTTTTAAATGGGACACCCCGTATATTATTTTTTCATTGAATAGATCTTTGTGAGCTGATTTCAATGATACAAGGTTTTATACCTTCACCTTCAATAGTTTTGGAGAAAAAAAAATAAATTCCGTTTTTTCCATAAGAAACAATGAGATAGAAAGAGATAGTTGAACTATGAATCGGCTACAAATTTCTTAATTCTTAATTTAATTTTTCAGTTCAGTTAATTTTTTTAAAATTCGAACTATCAATTGGGGGTGATAAATTAACAACGCATAATTTATTTAATGGCTTATCTCGTTCTATCTCATTGTTTCTTATGGAAAAAAGGAATTTATTTATTTTTCTCCAAAACTATTGAATGTAAAGGTATAAAACCTTATATCATTGAAATCAGCTCACAAAGAGCTATTCAATGAAAAAATTTGATCAATATCGTTCACCGAAAAACCTGCCAGCTCCTATACTAGAAGATTTCACACATTCTTTCCTGAAACCTCAGAAGAAAATGAAAGACCACATGGTAAGCGACAAAAAGCGTATCTACCGAAAAGTGTAGCAGAAGTACAAAGTTTTTGACTTTCCTTATCTAATTTAATATGTAAAAAGCCTTGGGTGGCATCTGAAGTGCTAAAAAATTTTGATCCATGCAATTTCGAGCTTTTCTCCCAGGTAGGTAAATGAAAAGTGGGTTTCTTTATAGAAAGATTTAGCTTGAACGGGTCCATGCAAATTCTTAAATTTCTGTTTGGTTTTTTACCAATAACTATGGGGTGAGGCCAAACCGTACTACCCCGTTTTATTATTTGGTCTTTTTCTAGTTGATTCAAAGAATTCTTCAACTTTTCTGCCAAAGCCAAAGGAGTTCTATGTGATACTCTTTTTCTAAACAGCCTATACCTTTGAAAATGACTCTATATTCACTTAAAAGTTCAAGTTCCAAACAGTCTTTCAGGCCTAGAATTGGAATGCTATCCAATTCTACAGCGTGAAAGAACGAATTGCTAGTTTTGTTATTGATTTTGCACTTTAAAAATAGCTGGCCCAAAAACAGGTAAGTAGTGCTTTGTATAAGAACTAAGTTTGACATTTGGTTTTTTCAATTTTGACATTTTAAAGTTTATTTGCTTTAATACCTCCATAGGGATTACATTTGCCATTGCTTCAGTGTCCAGTTTAAATGCTAAGATATTGGTGTCATCGATCTCAATGCTCTACATAACTATTGTAACCAACTGTCTAAAAACTAGCTTCAGTAAACTCAGAGAATTTTCTCAGCGCTGGCTCTTAGACTATGAGGCTCATGGGCATCATACCGAAACTTTATTTTATCATACAGGTGAGGCCGGTTTAGCCAGCTAATAGTGTATAATGCACAATTCTTAATTATTGATGCTTAATCTTGAAACTTCAGTTTTATATGCAGCCATATAGTCAACTCTAAGTGCGTAATTCGTGATTTAGATTTTAAGAATTAAGCACTATATTACAGTAAAATTTGGCTTGTGCGCATGCGTCTGTCAAGCCACAAGTGGCAAAATTTGCCAGTTTAATTGCTTTCAGGCCTTGTTGTTTACCTTCATCGTGGATAAATAAGTATACAAGATTTATTTTGAATTGAAATTGATATTTTTATATTGATAATATAATAACTAATAACAAACAACGAAAAAAGCCAGCTGTCACTTTCTTTATGCATAAATAGTGACGCGATGTATAAAGTTGTGCATTATACACTATTAGCTGGCTAAACCGGTCTATAGTCGGGACAACTTTTACGAATCAATTTGTTAAAGAGAACCAAACTATGAAGTGCGCGTCTTTCATTCATTCTTATTCATTCAATTTTGTATAACCTGGCACTCACCCCTCACATGGCCCCTAATACCACCTATAACCTGACACACGAAACATGTATGATTTGAATTCTTCTCGCATCAGAATCCAGTGGACAGGGTCCATACAGTACATCGCAGTAGTTAAAGCGAAACGGTCATTGTGAAAACTGAAGGGAAAAGCTATTGCGATGTCCTGAGGAATGTTAAAAACTCAGTGGACATAGGCAAGTTAGGCATCAAAATATCCTCCCTCAAGAAGACTGGGGACGACTCTCTATGTCTTAAAGTATGTAGAAGGGAGCAAACAGGAGGCAAACTGACTGAAAAACGAGATACAGAAAAATATGACCAATACTCAAGTTAGGGTCAAATCCAGGGAGCAAAAATTTTTCATTCTAGACATTGACGGAAATACCAATAGCGAAGAAGTAGCAGAGGCTATCACCAGGAAAACCGGTATTGAACAGCAACATTTCGAGCTTAGGGCGATGAGCACCAGCCAAAGCGGAAACCAATCTGCCACGGTCGCTGTGCAGCAGAAACGCGGCGGTAAACTCCTAGAGTCCACCAAGATTAAAATCAGCTGGTCCACCTGCAGAGTAAAACTCAAGTTTCAGCTAACTCGTTGCTATAGATGCCTTGGTTTTCGGCATTGGACCGCAGTCTGCACAGGTCCAGACAGATCCAAGAACTGCATGAACTGCGACTGTACAGGAAACCAGGCTAAGCTATGCTCCGAGGAACCACAATGCTTCAACTGCAACGAAAAAAAAAACAGAATGGACAACACAGGCTGTCCCAAGTACCGAGAACTGCTCGAATAACATAGACGGCCAACAAGCTAAATGGACAGTAGAGTTTACATTCCCAGAAAACACAGGTCTACCAAGAAAAATCGAAATATGCCTAATACTCCATACACCTCTATTAAAATATTACAGATAAATCTCAATCGCTGTCATACAGCACACAACCGAGCAGAAGGCGCCGCAAGGAAAACTAACATCGACATCATAGCAATTTCGGAACCAAATCATAAAGAAATCACAAACGGAGGATGGCGTACTGACTTAAGGGCGGACACTGTCCTCAAAGCTACCAACCGGGACTTACCCTTCTTCAGTTCGGGGTCAGGAAATGGCTTTGTATGTATAGAATTTAAGGCTCGATTTAAGGACTTCGCCTTATACAGGTGCTTCTTTTCGTTAAACGCCAAACACAATCCATGAATTTCAAACAGCCCTGGACAACCTGGGCTCCTCCATGGATCTATTGAAGTCCAAAAGTGCTATCATCACGGGCGACTTTAACTCCAGCTCTGTGAACTGGGACATGCGCGAAACAAATGGCAGAGGAGCCATACTCTCCGACTTAATGGCCTCTAAGGACCTAGTCCTCCAGAATACGGGTCAGGAGCCAACATTCGAGAGAGAACAGTCCTCCTCCATAATGGATCTTACGATGATTTATGGCAAGATCGGCTCCAGGATCGTGAACTGGAGATTCCTCACCCAGGAGACTATGAGCGACCACAAATACATCTACTTTGAGGTCCAAATATACCCTCAGCAAAAGACATTGCGTAAGGAAAGTTTTTGGAACCGTAAGAAACTAGACCAGGAAAGGATTGAGGAATTCGTTAACAGGAAAGCAGAAACAAATTTGCCCGGCCCTTCAGAGCAACTAGTCCACTTTCTGCACAGTTTGTGCGATGCATCCATGTCTAGTGGTGGTCGCAGGACTGCAGGACATTGCCAAGCTAAGGGCTACCTGCCTCAAAACCAAGAGAGAATTAATGCGGAAAAGCCGACAACAACAAGCGAGAAACGAGGAGTGGAGGGCCAGATACTCATTATAAAAAGAGAGTTAAAGCTAGCCATTATGGAAGCCAAAAGATCCTGCTGGGGAAAGCTGTTCGAGGCAATCAATGAAAACTGCTGGTAAGACGGTTACAAGATCGCCATGAAAAGTCTCAAACTGAATACCACAAACCGTGCTTTGATGATGAAAAGCGCCATATGGAATCCACAAACGAGCCCTGCCCAACGAGACCAAGGACTGTTTGGGTTCAACCACCAGCCGAAGACCAGGAAATTCCAGAATTGACAATCAAGAAGATTACTGAAGCGAGCTCAGGCTGAAGGCGCACAGAGCTCCTGGACTACATGGGGTGCCAGTCGACGTCATAAAAGCGGCCACGTCGAGCCACTTAGAATTGTTCCTGGGTACCCTTAATAAGCTGATCAACAATCGAGAATATCCCAAAATTTGGATAAAGGCCAAGGCTGGTCCTCATCGAAAAACCAATAAAAAACAACCAAGTGACACCAAAATACAGACCCCTGCGCCTCCTAGACACTACAAGTAAGCTACTGAAACATATCATCCTCGCCAGGCTCTTCAAGGATTTAAATCTTTCGGAGACCCTCTCGCTAGACAGTTCGGATTTGGACAGGGCAGATCAACAATAATGGCCGTACAAAGCGTAGTAGGAATCCTCAAGAAAGTAATCTACAAGAGAAGCCAAAAGCAAAGGAAGGTAGGGATTATCGTCACGCTTGACATCAAGAATGCCTTCAAATTTGCCCCATGGAAGGAGATAGTAGACGAAATTCAAAGGGCAGGTGCTACCCCATACTTGATTAAAATAATTCAAAGCTACCTGACCACTAGGGAAATTTTTATAGAGGCAGAGGAAAAAAGGGAAAATTTCCACATGACGTGTGGAGCCCATTCTCGGCCCTGCACTGTGAAACATCTTTCACGACGGCTTACTGAACGGTAAGCTCCTTGCAGGCGTCACCCTAACGGGTTACGCCGATGATGTCGCAGTGACCACCCTAGGCAAAGACGTAGTGGAGATTTATTCCAAAATTATAACGGCCATGGCGCAGATTCAGAATTGGTTGTCCAGCAAGCATTTGCTTCTAGCAAAAGAGAAAACGGAGGCAGTCATTGTCTACCCTAAGCGACAGGTCCCTCAGACCACCTTACAGATCCTGGGTATGGAGATTACCCCCAGAACAGAGATAAAATACCTGGGTGTATGGCTAGATTCCAGACTAAAGTTTCAGACCCACATCCAAAAAACCGCGACGCGCGCCAGCAACGCAAAGATGGCTCTGGGTAGACTGATGCCCAACATTGGTTGCCCAAGGGCCAGCAAGAGGAGATTACTGTGTTCAGTGGGGAGATCAATTTTACTATACGCTGCTCTAGTATGGGGCTCCTCAATGCTGATTAACAACAATCGTGTCATATACGAGAGAGTTCAAAGACAGGCTGCAATCCGAATCACCTGCAGCTATCGTACTGTTTCTACAGACGCTTTGCGAGTAATCGCGGAGGTACCTTCTGATGGAGGAAGCAGTAGTGGTTTCAATGGCAAACCCCCAAGAGAAATGAAACGCGCGCAAAGCAGCCCGAGCAAGTCTGATGGTAAAATGGCAGAATAGGTGGGAAACTAGCAAAAAGGGAAGGTGGACCGCCAAGCTGATCCCGGACATAGAGGCATGGATAGCCAGAGACCACGGAGAAACAGAGGAAAAATTGCTACGCGTCCGTCGCAACAACCCTCACACCGGAAAACACCATAGGTGAAATGATAAATAGCCCAGCGAAATGGGATCAAATTTGTACTATGGTGGAATCTACCTTGAAGATTGAAGGCGAAGAAGAAAACAGTTTGCAGGAGGCTCCAGAATAGAAGTAGGAGCCCCCCTCACTTCCTAGGGCGACCGGACACCACTTCCCTAGGCGTGCATAAAGCTTTTCCAATTCCTACTTATTAAAAAAAAAGAAGTCAAACTGAGATAAGACAATGAAATCGCACAATACTTTCTTAAGATTCTCAATGATTAGGGCTCGTTGGTTGAATTTTAATATAAGATTGGCAAAAGCCCTCTTGACGCGGTTATTAATATGCCCCGAGAATCTTAGATCAGCGTCCATGATCAGTCCTAGATTGTTTACTGCATCAAATGCGTCCAAAAATGGCTCGCATGAGAGATAAAGCTGTGTGTCGTCAGCGAGCATAATAGAGTACAGTCGAGTATCGCAGACATGTAATAAGCTGCGGTGTATAGAGAGAGAAAAAAAGCGCCGCAAGAATAGAATTTTGAGGCACACTACATGTCATCCTTACAGGCCTCGAGAGCTTGCCATTAAGCTTGGCCATTTGTTTTCTAACAATGTATGACCTAATGAAAAGCCTCGATTCATTGTCAAACATCAGATAATGAAATATGAGAGAGTAAGAGAAAATTATGATTGAGAAACGGTCGAAGGCATTTGAATTAGTCCAAGAGAACCAATAGGTACCGTCAAATCGCAACGATACGAAGCCTTCGAAATGTCATCCGTCGTTTTCAGGAATCAGGAGCGCTGTGGCGCAGCTGTAAACCTTGCGAAAGTCAGATTTGGCAGAGGGCAAGATTTGATGATACTGGTAGGCATTCAAGGAGCCTTTCGATGGCCTTAGGACGTGTAGGCCTTAAGTGCTTCAGCTCGCTTGAGGGTTTTCCAGCACTCAGGAAAATATTTTGTCTCGATACAGAAGGCGCGGCCGTTAGGCGATCCACAACCTGGATCAGAATCTCGGAGCATTACGCCCAGATCCTGACCAATTGTCCAGAGTGTGGCCCCTTTTCAAACAGCCAGCACTGTCTCCACCGCGGCTGTGCTGCATCAGATCTTGATTTTGTCGAGACAGGCCTGTATAAATGTTAGATTGCCCATTTATCTATGTAATTGTTACCGTAATGACTCCCCTGAAAATACCTACAATTTAGTTTACCTTGCCCTTCTTTACCGTATATAGCGTTTTCATGGCTGTTATTAACTTAATCTCCTTCGAAACAGCTGACCGGTATGACCTGTTTTAAGTTTATTATATTATTATTATTTTTAACCCTAAACAATTTCAATTTAAAATTGCTATAGCGATATTTAGTATTATCAATCGTATTTTTCCATATTTTATCGCAGAAAAAACGCAAATGATCTCATTTTCTTTCATCGAGAATTTCAAATAATTTAAAACTATAATTTGATCTCAATAGAGTTTTACAGATTTAGGGATTCAATCGTTTAATCCTATTTTATTTATGTATTTATTTATCTAGTAATACAGGTAAATTAACTCCATGTAATTTTTTTCAATATGACACTGGTAGAGATTTTGCTTTAATTAAACTTGAATTTGCTATAGGTAGGTAGGTAAATTTTTGAAGAGATATTCATATTTCGTGTTTTCTTTGGGAAAGTTTATAGCCGGGTAATGGTAATAAATTGAGTTTACTTTTCAAATTTTTAAAACTATTATTTTATACCTATCTTCTTAATTTTATTATAATTATTTTGGATAGTGTCTGTATTGGCTTGTCCAGAAAATGCAAATTACCTTAGGACTACCACAAGCTAACAACCGCTGATCATAGTTAGGCATGATTAGAGCCGATTTTTTATTTTGGTGGAAGGTTTTTACACCCTTAAGGCGGTAGTGGAAGCCCAAAGCTCTAGGAATCCTGCCCGATGTTTGAATTTTGGGTAGACGAGGTAGAGGAAGAGAGAAGAGAGAAGCAGAAAATGGGAAAAGAAAGAGAAAAAAGGCAAGTCAGGGTACCAAAGGGTCAAAAGCTTGGCCAAGAAACGCCAAATGCTGTATCGCATGATTCTGATGACGAGGCAATGTTGGATAAGCAGGTCAACAATCAAAGCCACACTAGAATTATTTGCGAAAAAACTAGACAAAGAGAGCAAAAAGAAATGTGTAGAGGAGCTGCAAAAGATACATGGTGGACGCAGGCATTACAAAAGAGTGTAC